TTCACTCACCTCAGCCTCCCAAAGCGCGGGATTACAGGCTGAGCCACCGAGCCCGGCCAGGCCGCTTTTCAAACTACATTAGTAATGTTTTTGTTCTTGCTAATGTTCATATTTTCTATTAATACTTCTTTTCCCTTTTGATAACACATAGGCTAGTCCTTCTTGGACTTAGAATCACTGCGTGATTTTGACACATTTCACTGTTTTTTTTTTATCTTGAAATTCTCTCCTTTCTTGACTTCTGAAATAGCACAGCACACTTGTTTTGAATCTACCTCATACAACTCCTTTTCATTCTCTTTTATTGTTTTTATATTAGTTATCTATTGCTGCATAATAATATCAAAAACTGGCCGGGCTTGGTGGCTCAGCCTATAATACCGCACTTTGGGAGGCCGAGGTGAGTGGATTGCCTGAGCCCCCGCGTTCGAGACCAGCTTGCACAACTTGGCGAGACCTTGTCTCTACAATAAATCAAAAAATTAGCTGGGTGTGGTAGCGCGCGCCTATAGTTCCATCTACTTGGAAGGCTGAGGCGGAAGGATTGCCGGAGCCCAGCAGGTCAAGGTTGTGGTGGTGGGGAGCGGCCACTGCACTCCAGTCTGGGCGTCAGAGTGAGACTCCAACTCAAAAAAAAAAAAAAAATCACAAACTTAGCAATTTAAAACAACACATAGTTCTTTTGTCAGCAGTCCAAGCACAACTTAGGTGGGCGCTTTACAGTCTCAAAAAGCTATAATCAAGTGCTGGCCAGGTCTCTTGTGTCATCTGAGGCTTAACTGGAGAAAATTTCACTTCGAAGCTATCATGGTTATAGGCAGAATCCAGTTACCTTAAAGTGTGTGGAGCTGATATGCTCAGTTTTTTTGCTGTCTGGAGACAGTCTTCTGTTTCTTGCTATGCCAGCTTCTCCAACATGAAAACTTCTTCAAAACCAGGCAGAATGAAAGTCTTTAATCAAGACAAAGAATTAAAATCTTACATAACCATTCTATGCAATGTAATCACAGGCATTTAGTCACCTTTGGTTAGCAGCAAGCCATAGATCCTGCCTGTATTCAAGGAGAGAGTTATATTCAAGGACCTGAATGTGACAAGGCAGGAATTATGGGAGTCATCTTAAAGTCTGTCCACTACAGTATCCTTTTTTGGGGGGGAGGCATCTCCTCAATGCTATTTCTCCCTAAGAGTTTGTTTTGACCTTTTCTTTGTACAGCAAAGACCAAACTCAAAGGTCAATTGTCTACTGGCTATCCCATGGATCCTTCAAACCAAACATACTCACAATAAACTTTATCCTTTTTCAACCTTTTCCTCTCCTTATAAGCCTGACCTATGTTTGTCTTACCTTAGAGAATGGCATCTCTAGCTACCCAGCTAAATGAAATTAGTCATCTTTTTATCTTCTCTCTATATCTAACATCTTCAGATCCCCACTGCTTCTGTCTTCCATGGATTTAAAAATATCTCTTAATGTGAAATCATTACCATATATGGATGATATGACTGAATATACGAATTGCCTAAGAAAATCAACTGAAAAATACTATAAAAATATGTCAAATCAGTAATACAGCTGCATAATATAGTTACATGGAGAAACAAATAGATTATATATATATAATATATATATATAAACAATAAACAGCTGGGAAATACAATGGAATAATATATCCCAATAATGATGGCAACAAGAATTAAAAGTAAATTGAAATATAATGTAACACTTTTATAAAGAAAAGTATAAAATTCTATTGAAGAACAATATAAGCCTTGAACAAAGGAAAGCCTATATTCTTAGGTAGAAAAGGTAAGTTAAAACTTGAACATAACCCAAATCAAACCTATTAAAAGCTTTGGGTTGAAAATGTGACTCTTAATTTACTATATTAATATAAATTTTAAAATAGCCAAGAAAACACAATGTCTAAGCAATTACAATAGTGTGGTACTGGACCAGACAATTTTATTTAATATGTAATAAAGCTTGAGTCTTTGATCAGTGAGGAAACTATTAGCTATTCAATAATTAGAAACTATTCAACTAGATGCTATTAATTAATAAACAAAGGCCGGGCATGGTGGCTTATGCCCATAATCTCAGCACTTTGGGAGGCTGAGGTGAGAGGATTGCCTGAGCCCAGGGGTTCGAGACCAGCCTGGGCAACTTGGCGAGACCTCATCTCTACAATAAATCAAAAAAGTAGTTAGGCATGATAGTGTGTGCTGGCAGTTCCAGGCACTTGGAAGGCTGAGGCGGAAGGATCGTCTAAGCCCAGCGGGTCGAAGCTGTGGTGACCATGAGCAGTGTGACACTGCATTCCAGCCTGGGAGACAAAGGCAGAATCCTACTAAAAAAAATAAATAAAAATAAAAAGTAAAATAAAATGTCTATATCACATATTGTGAGATATAAGAATAATTTGCCAATGTATCAAAGGCTTAAATATAAAGAATAAAATGTAACAGTACTAGTACTTAAAATTTATAAGGCCTTTTTTATTACAACCTTGAATCTTCATGTATTACAGGAAAGATTTATAATTGAAGGAAAAATATTTTCAAAAATGTACATGATAGAGACACCATAGGCAAAGTCAAAAGACAATGAATAAGTGCAAATAAAAATTACACTAATGGACCATTTTTCACCTGAACAGATTGGCAAAAATCCAAAATTTGATATTGTACTCTGTTTACAAGGTTATATGAAATAGATATTCATATACAAATGCTCCTTGACTTATGATGAGTCTATTTGACCATAATTATGTTGTAAATCGAGAAGCATACTGAATGCACATCATACCCTCATAAAATAAAAAAAATGTAAGTTGAACAATCATAAGTCAGGGACTCTCTATGTGTTGTGAGTAGATTATATGCTGGAGTAAAACTAATAGAGTAATTGTCAATATTTATAATAATCTCAAATAGCTTTTATGATACTGTCTCAACCTCTTAACCTTTCACACAAGGCCTAACAGGCTGCAGGCTTGGTTTTTTCATTTGTATTATCTCCCTTCACTCCCCTTAACAGAAATTTTCATTTCACCCTTCCACGCCTTTGTAGATGCTATTATGTCTATTGAAAACTATTTGTCTTCTTATTTTCTACTCTTCCATTTACCTAAATGGTATTCACCTTTTAAATCTCCACTCATCTTTTATTTCTTTGAGCAATGTTTTGTAGTTTTCATTGTAAAGGTCTTTCATTTCTCTAGTTAGGAAGATGTCAAGGTGTCTCATTTTATTCGTTGCTATTGTGAATGGGATTGTGGTTTTTTATTTGGGTTTCTGTTTGTTTATTGTTGGTGTCTAGGAAAGCAACTGTCTTTGCACATTTATTGTATACCCTGAGACTTCTCCAAAGTCCTTTATCAGTAAGGAGGTTTTTGACAGGTTCTCTTGAGTTTTTGAGGTATAGAATCATGTCGTCTGCAAAGAGGATAACTTAACTTCCTCTTTTCCTATTTGGAAACTACAGATTTCTTTCTCTTGTCTGATTGCTCTAGCTAGGACTTCCAATACTATGTTGAACAGGAGGGGTAAGAGTAGGCATCCTTGTCTTGTTCTAGTTTTCAGGGAAAATGGTCTTGTGAATATTGAACCAGCCCTGCATCCCAGAAAAAGATTCCATGTTCATGGATTGGCAGAATCAACATTGTTAAGATGCCCTTTCTACTCAGTGCAATCTACAGATTTAATACAATACCCATTAGATTACCAGATGTATTCTTCTCAGACTTGGAAACAGCAATACAGGAATTCATATGGAAATATAAATGACCATGAATAACCAAAACAATCCTCGGGAAAAAAAAGCAGGAGGTATAATAGTCCTAGACTTTAAACTTCATTATAAAACTACAATAATCAAAAGAGCCTGTTTTTGGTACAAGAACAGGCTTATAAACCAATGGAACAGGATTGAGAAGCAAAGCCTCAATTTCTCAACCAACTAACTCATCTTCAACAAAGCCTCCACTATTAACCACTGGGGAGAAAAGAAACTATTCAGTAAAAAGTGCTTGGAAAACTGGCTGATCACATACAGAAGATTAAAACAAAACCCCTACCTATCACCATAAACAAAAATCAACTCTAAATGGATCAAAGACCTAAACTATAAGAATCTTAGAAAATGCAGGAGACACACTTATGGAAATTGGAACTGGAAACCAATTCCTGATCAAAACCCCAAGTGCCCATGCCATAAGAGATAAGATGGATAAGTGGGACCTCATCAAACTGAAGAGCTTCTGCAAAGCCAAAGAAACCATCAAGAGAGCAGGGAGACAACCCACAGACTGGAAAAAATATTTTCCAACTGTATATCTGACAAAGGTCTAACATCTAGGATCTACAAGGAACTCAAACATGCCAAAAAGAAAAAAAAACAAACACAGCAAAAGTGACAAAAGATATGAATAGACACTTCTCAAAAGGAGACATATGAGCAGCTAACAGATACATGAAAAAATGCTCAGCCTCACTAGTCATCAAAGAAATGCAAATTAAAACCACACTGTGATATCACCTAACTCCAATCAGGATGGCCATCATCAATAACTCAAAAAACAATGGATGCTGGAGAGGAGGCAGGGAAAAAGGAATGCTTCTACATTGTTGGTAGGAGTGTAAACTAGTACAGCCTCTGTGGAAATCAGTGTGGTGATATCAAAATATCTAAAAATTAACCTTCCATACAACTCCACAACTCCCCTACTGGAAATATACCTGGAGGAACTAAAATCACTCTATGAAAAAGATACATGCACATGCATGTTTATTACAGCATTATTCACAATAGCAAAAGCACGGAACCAATTGTGCTGCCCATCGAAAGAGGAGTGGATTTTAAAAATGTGGTACACATGCACACTGAAATATTACACAGCCATAAAG